TCTTACCTCCGTCCCGTCATCAGCTCCTGGGACTGTAGACTTCTCTTCAACAGGAGGTTTGTCCGCATATTTGCGGGTTTTCTTCAGAAGGTTTTTAAGACCTTTTGGAGTCTTTATCTTCGCAGATGGAACCTCAAGTCTTTCTTCTTCTGGAGGTTCATGCGGTGCAGAGGATTCTGCAGGTTTGTCTCTAGAGCCTGATGATGGTTCCGATGGTCCGGAAGGCTCAGGAACATCTCCAGATGATTCTGGTGGATCAGGTCTTTTGGCAGATGATTCTGCCGGATCAGATGGAAGAGGCTTCCTTTTCCCTGAAATCCTCTTCGGTGGTGGATCAGCTGCTCCCTCAGGTGCTCTGTCACAACCCTTGAGGTACGTGTGAGCCTTTTTCTGTCCGGCACAGGCTGGACAGCGACCTTCCGGTATCCTAACATAAGGCTTATTGGCTCCTAGAGCAGTCTCCGTCGCACGGAACGATGTACCTGACTTAGGAAGGTACTTCCTGGTGGAAGTAAAGCCTAAAAGGTCCAATACCAAATGGTTATTGGTACTAATCGGAAGAGGGGTTTTATACAAACCGAAAGCTTCACACGTTGCTAGGTCAGCTGTTGGACTACACTCGAGGGTCATTCTTAGATTTCTCATCTGTTCAATGGAGAACAAGATGGGGACTCTTCCCTGATCCAAAACTTCTATGGTTGTATCTCTTCTTGGAGTTGTGTTAAACCATAGAGTTACACGCTCCTTGATAAGAGCTGTTTCACTATCTGCAAAAGAGAACTTCGTGTTCGAAGGTGAAAAAGTGAAATCAATCATGCCTGGGGCATGTTGCTTCACGGCCTTGATAAGCCTGTTCACCGCATAGCGGGAACCCATAGCCCTAGTACAACCAGAGTCAAGAATGACAAAGGTAGGGCTCTTATCAAGATTGATCCGCTCGGTGAGAGCAGATAGGACGGTGTGCTGCAACGGAAACACTGCTGTTGCAGTCTCCACACCTTGCCCCTCGGATGGTTCAAAAACCTGGGGCGCGTAACTCACTGATGAGTTGTACACGGGTTCTTGGTGCGCGCTCGGATCTGTGCCTCTACCTGATGATCCTGCTTGATTTCTTCTCTTCTTTCTCCGTGTCTTTCTTCGTGAGGCTTGTGATGCATAGTATGTATAAGACGTTTGATCGTCATAAGCGGCATAATTCCAACTGGAGTCAGTATAATAACTGTCCTCATACCATGAATCCCAGCTCGGTGCGGTGGAACTTTCATAGGCCTGTGGAGATCCAGTTTGGTCTCCTTGTAAGGAGGCAGACTTAGCTGTATCCTTACCTTTGCCTTTTGATTTTGTACCCTTGAAGGAGCTTCCTTTATCTCCTTTGTCCTTTCCTTTTCCTTTGCCTTTTCCACCTTTTCCTTTTTCTTTTCCTTTGCCTTTACCGAAATAGCTGGAATCAGTTGGATCATGTTCTGCCTGGTTGGCTCTCCCTTTTCCGCGGTATGACCTAAAACGGCCACGTCCTTTTCGCTTGCCACCCTTTGCTCTTCCCGGTGATCCGGGACGCATTCTTGGTCTTCTTCCCTTTTTGAATCTCCTTGCAACGAAGGCTTCATGGTCGTCAACTGTCCAAAAGACAGCTTCTTCATCCTCGGCGGCAAGAAAGCCTTCCTCAAGGGTGTCTTCGTCTTGGAGCCAGAATCCATCGACTCCGTCGTATTCACCCTGATCGAGGATGAGGAAGTTTCGACCTCCGCGTTTGCGGCGTTGATCTCTCCTTCCATGGCGGTCCTTCTTGTGAGAAGTGTGCCGAATATTGGGATCCTGCAGACCAGTTCTGGTCGTTGAGAACTGATCGAACATGGTCTGCCGTACTATAGGGTACGTGTAGGTCTCAATTCGGTAACCTTGGTTGGTCAATGCTGTTACCAACCTCTCACGTTGCATCTCATTTAGGTCGGACTGCACTAGGAAGAGGAGAGCTAGGAGATTATCATTTAGAGGAAACGCTCTTCGATGATTATCAAGGCGTTCCTTGTTCCATGTTTCGAAGAAACGTGCGGCGTATGTGTCTCTCTCGGTTGCATCCTGTAGGCGCATGAAGGTTTGATCTGCTTGCACAGCCTGCATGAAATCGGATGGGCATCTTCCAGAATTATCTCTGGTAAGAGATCCATCCATGAGTTTCTCACGCGCTGTAGCACGATCTCAAACTTAGCAATCCAAGTCACAAAGTCTTGGTTGCCCTTCCATGCCTTGAATAGGCCGAGAAAACGCCACAGGAAAACGTACTGTTCTCCTTTCACGAAAAATGGACGCATCTTCTTCTTGAAGTAATCTACTCCGTCTGGGGCTGCAAGCCTTTCTCTGTTGAGTGATTCTTTTTGTACTGCGGCCAATCCGGAGAGCCTCGTCTTGAGAGACGGACCTCTTTTGGTATCATCCAGCGTTGTTATATCGCACCAGTCGTCAATCAACTGTTCATACTCAAACCACGAGGTGGTGCCATCATAGGCAGGCGCGATCTTGGGCGTTATGCCTAATGATGCAAGCATGCGGTCAGATGTTGCATATGACTGTGCGACATAAGTAGCTGGACCTTGGGAGGTCTCTTCGTTCTCATATCCCCCGGAGGACTGGGAACTGCCGTCGGCTTCGCTATGCGAGCTCGACATTGTGCTGCCTCTTGTCCGCTTGGTTAAGCGTTCGGCGAGGCCGACCGCTGTAGCGGACTTTGTGAGGCGGGCGGCCCTTTCCGGGCTCCGCTACCAGAAAACTGTGCCGATACACCCCCAAGGAATACTCCTTGTAAGGAGGTGTATGACCAGTTTATTCCCTAAGGATCAAAGGGCAGCGCCCTGCACACGGACAGTAGTTGTTTTGTCTTGCTACGCAAGGAGAGCTTGTCTTGTCTCAATATGGTAAAACCACTGTGAGCCAATGGGCAGCGGAATGTATATGTATGAGCATGCAGCCATTGCTGTAGGTACCTGTTAGAGCTACCCCTTTAGAGGTTTATGGTTTCACCCCCCCTCCCCCCCCCTCCCCCCTCCCTTTCTCTTCTCCCCCTCCGGCCCGTCCTCCCCTCTGCCCTCCTCGCTCGTTTTCCTTTTTTGGTTCCCCACCCTTCCGTCTTGTCCTGCCCTCGCGTGTTTTTTCGATTGCCTGCTCGTTTTCGTTCACCTTTTCTTCTCTTTCGGCCTGCCCCCGGCTCCACTGTATTTTCTTCTTATGTTTCGTTTTTGGCTTCTTCCTGCTTCCTCGTTGAAGCTCTCGTTTTGCTGTTTTGTTGCCCCTCGCCCGCCCCCCCCCCCGCCCAGCCCTCCTCCCTCCCCGCCCCCCCGGCCCCTTTTCCCACCCTTCCGTCTTGTCTGCGTTTGGCTTGTTTTCCTTCCTTCCCCCCCTCCCCCTCTTGCTGGCCCCCCCTTCCTCCTCCGGCCGGCCAGTCCACCCTTCCGTGTTGTCCCGCCCTCGCGTGTTTTTTCGACCTTTTCTCGTCTTTCGGCCTGCCCCCCACCGAGCCGGCTCCACTGCCTTTTCTTCTTATGTTTCGTTTGCGTGCTTTGGCTCTCCTGCTTCCTCCTTGAAGCTCCGTCGTTTTGCTGTTTTGTTGCCCCTCGCCCCCGCCCCCCCTCAGCCCCTCTTCCCTCCCCCTCCCGGGCCCCCCCCCGTCTTGTCCTGCCCCCCCCTTGCTGGCCCCCCCTTCCTCCTCCGGCCCCCCCTTCCTCCTCCTCGGCTTCCCATCGTTTTTTGTTTTATCCTGCTCGTTTTCTTTCCTCTTTTCTTCTCTTCCGGCCTGCCGCCCCCCGGGCCGGCTCCACTGCCTTTTCTTCTTATGTTTCGTTCGCGTGCTTTGGTTTTTTCGGCCTGCCCCCCCCGGGCCGGCTCCGCTGCCTTTTCTTCTTATGTTTCGTTCGCGTGCTTTGGCTCTCCTGCTTCCTCGTTGAAGCTTCCCCCCCCCCGCCCTCCCTCCCTTCCCCGGCCCCCCTCCCCCCGGGCCTTCCCCCGGCCCTTTTCCCACCCTTCCGTCTTGTCCTGCCCTCGCGTGTTTCTTCCATTGCGACTTTTTCGTGCACTTCGTTTTGGCTTGTTTTCTTCCCCCCCTTCTCCCCCCCACCCTTCCTCCTCCGGCCCCCCCTTCCTCCTCCGGCGTCCCATTGTTTTTTGTCTTCTGCCTGCTCGTTTTCTTTCACTTTTTCTTCTCTTTCGGCCTGCCCCCGGCTCCACTGTATTTTCTTCTTATGTTTCGTTTTTGGCTTCTTTCCTGCTTCCTCGTTGAAGCTCTCGTTTTGCTGTGTTGTTGCCCCTCGCCCCCCCCCCCAGCCCTCCTCCCTCCCCGCCCCCCCGGCCCCTTTTCCCATCTTGTTTGCACCTCTTTTGGCTTGTTTTCCTTCCTTCCCCCCTTCCCCCTCTTGCTGGCCCCCCCTTCCTCCTCCGGCCGGCCAGTCCACCCTTCCGTGTTGTCCTGCCCTCGCGTGTTTTTCAACCTTTTCTCCTCTTTCCGCCTGCCCCCCACCGAGCCGGCTCCAAGGCACGTCGTCGGCCAGACCACACGACTCGTCGACTTATCATGCATCACCAGGACCAAGCACTGGCATTGCTTCTGTATCTCATTCCTGCAACCCTTCTGCGCACTTGGGTTTTGCTGCATGTGTTTGCTCTACACTTGCCACACTTCTCCAAGTAGCCCTGACCCTGCAACTAAATTACACCTGCTTTAAGAGGCCCTTCGCAGTTTGGCCCCTGCTCTGCGCCCCTGCTGGCCCTACTGCAGCCGGCGGCCGAGGCGGGCTGCGTAGCATTAGAATTACGCTGGATCATGCCGTCACCTCCCAGTAATGTGTAACTCTAAAACTCGGATTGTTTGCCAATGCGTGCAATCGGGTACGCACACTATGGCTTTCGGCAATGCTAAAACACACTTTCCTCATGCCTGTGAGACTGTCGTGTTAGCGAGTAAGTGCTGAGACCCAATCGCGTGTCGCCTGAAGGCCACGGCACCAACACCCTCACAAAACTTGACATGCAGCAGCCTCATAGGTAAAGTCAATGAGGCCGTTGTCCTTCATCTTTCCCTGCGACGGCAAGCGGGGCAACAGAAACGCGTCTGTCTGCACCTGAAAGGAAGGGCTGCCAGGCGTCTGCACCTTGAGGGGACCGGCTTCCTCGTCTTCGGAATTGTAGATCCTTGGCGAGCGGACCCGTTTGTGGAGCTGGGAACTGTATCCCACAACGTGGATCCGTCTTTGTGACCAGGAGCTTGAAGTCGGAGTCAGGCATCCACTCCTGGTTGAAGCCCAGCCTCTTGCGGCCCTCTGACAGCACCTGCACGGCAAGGCATATCCGTCAAAATGTGATATACTTGTCCCAACTCTGCGAGGATGTAAGTCTTTGGAATGCTCCGCTCAAAGAGACACGTGGAAGTGGCTCTGCCTACAGTTGCCATGTACCATGGAGTTCCTGCAACGTCTGGCCATCCGAACTGCTTGCAGCGAGATATCGTACTCCAACATCTCAGCAGTGAATAATAATTCAGCCTATCCGAACCTCTTGTCAAACGAAGTAGAACTTGGCACTGGCGGCCTCGCTGGCATCGGCATCGGCCTCTCACAAGGTGCACATGAACTGCGGCGACGAGATGTAGAAGAACCAGCAACGACAAAAAACCTGCCTTGATCATGAAACGGCAGCGTGCACCCTGTGCCGGGGCGGTGAACCTAAGAGGAATAAGACAGCTGCCTTCCTTAAATTTGTGTCCAGCTCGACTGGCGCCAACAAGACGAAGCTGCGTTCTTGTTGGACTTTATGGCAGGCACAAGCATTTTACAGCCCTCGGCTAAAGTAGCTCTTGCTTGTCTGTCACAGCAGAAGGCACGAGTGAAAGTTACCCGCGCAGCTCAGGCAGGTTTCTGTAGATAGTCATCTATCACAACAGCTTAAAAGGCACTCGTGTCTAGCCTAACCCACAGAGCATGAGATGCATGATAACTGGGATCACGCACTCGATCTCCACCACGTCACGGGTCAGGACTGGCGTCCTGGGCCATCAATTCTTCTTGTGGCTTGCTTACAAACTTCAGACTCTCGCTCAGCTACACTGCCGAGACACCACGGGGTGGCGGAAGCGCCGGCTTGTCCCCGCAGTGCCGTGCGGCTCTCCTGGCGACAGAAACACGCATGTACCCGATCAACTGAAGACCCTCAAGAGCTCACGAACCCGCAATAGCAAATTCATGCAGGGATGCTTCGACATCGCGAGGACACTGCAAATCCACAAACAGTCAGCCACAGCAAGGATGTCACTGACCAACCCGAACTGTTCAGTCCAGAAGACCTGAGATGACCGCATTGAAGAAGACACCCGGCGAACATTCAGAGTCCCAAAAGGATGTTTTCATGTTGCTGGCGACTCACTAACAAAACTTGAGATTGCAAGCACGATGCAGCAGTGTTCATCTGCTGATCCTCGACGGCTCCGGGAACCCAAGCCAAAACTCCGGTGCCGCGCCTGGCGGGGTGCCTGTCGCCCACAGAGGTTCACGAAGGAGAGGGTGGAGCCCAAGAAGGCGACCAGCAGAACCTGAGATCGCCGCGGTTTCCATCTGGGTGCCAGTGACCCTAAACCCTAATCCCCCGACTTCGCTGATTTCGGGGCAGCAGAGCAGCTCTCAGAGCCTCGCGGGACTTAGCGAAAGGGGCCACCTTCCGAATACCCTGAGATCATTGCCTCCAGGCTGCTGCGGACAGCAAGCTCGACTTGGCCATCTCGCCCGATCAACTGCTAAAAGATGTCTGAGCCTGTAAAAATGCTGCCCGATACCTCAAGTGTTGACATGCAGCTGTCCACTCTGCCGGCATGCTCTGTGGGACAAGCAGTTGCTCACGCATCCTGTCGACATCACCCGATCTGCAAAGTGCATTGCGAGCCGATTTTCTGATGCGAAAGGCCTGCGATGCAAAGCATCCGCCTGCAGCCTTTTGGGAGAAAGGCACGCTTTAAGCCCTGCCAAAAAGCCCTTGTGCCTTGACTAGGGAGTGGTGAACGGAGCCGGAAGGAGCCTGGCATTCTAAGTGCATGACTCGATGAGTCTGCTTACTTTGGCTCAGCACTTGTCCTTACTTTCGCCCAAAGTCTCCGGGCCATGCCATCTCACTGGGGCTCGTAGTAGAGATGCACCTGCCAGCAAGATCCCTTCTGCACTCTCGTCCCCTTCGCAGCCGAGAACCTACGCCCCATGACGTGAACCACGCCAACTGCTCAAAGCAAGGCCCAAACCTCGTAGGTGAAGTCAATGAGGCCGTTGTCTTTCATCTTGCCCTGAAACAAAACGCAAAAGCCCAGCTTCGAGCTAAACCGAAACCAAGTACGATGCTCCTCCCGTGAACCCTGAACGGTTCAAAGAAGGCTGCAAGGAAGCAAACCACTGATGAGAAGCCAGTGGCTTCCCATCGAAACTTCGAAGTGGCTCGGCCTTCAGAGGGCCGGCTTCCTCGTCCTCGGAGTTGTAGATCCTTCAGTGCGACGTGCCTAGAGGCTTCATGAGATCAGAAAGCCAGGCTCCGGGCTTGAAGTCCGAGTCCGGCATCCACTCCTGGTTGAAGCCCAGCCTCTTGCGGCCCTCGGAAAGCACCTGCAAGACTGGCAATCGCCAGCGAACCCGACAGCATATGTAAAGAGGACCTCTGCCTGCATTGTGCGACTCTGACAGTCGTCATGTGTCACAACATGCTCGTCTTCTGAATGTTAAACTGCAGCCGATAAAGCCACGTGCAGGCTCTTGGAACCTCAGCTACCGTCCTTCATATTTGTACGTCTAATGCTCAAGCTGTGCGAGAAACATGTTCGTTGAAACCTGAGCCGTAAATCAATCCTGAACTCTACCGATCTTGCACATATGGAGTGGCCAGGGAAGACAAGTACTTCGTCGATGGACCCGATACGGCTTATCTGAACCGTTCTTGTCGCTGGGGTAAGTGTTGTGAACGAAACACACTGGCATCGAAGCTGCAGAAAAAGCGATAGTCGCTTCTACGTTTGTCAGGTTCCAAGACTTCAGTTTCGAAAAGACCGCAAGAAGCCCTGGGGCCTCACTGGCATCAGCATCAGCCTGGACACCCGCAACGCTCAGCCGGATCACGGTCAAACAACTTGTAATTGTTACCCCCAATCCCACAGAAACACCTACCACTGGCACGTGCGATGAAACGGAGATAAAGGCTGCTCGGATGATGTACCGAATCGGAGAAGCCGTGGGCCGCGGCAGACACCGAGACGCGCCTTGATCATGAAACGGCAGCGAGCTCCCTGTGCGGGCGCGGTGAACCTGAGCTGAGCAACGAAGGAACGGGGGCGAGGCGCCGAGGCGCCGAGGCGATGGTCGCCGTTTACAGGTCTGAGGCCGATGCTCGATCTCCACCACGTCGCGAGTGAGGACTGGGGTCCTCTGAGCCCGCGCGCGCGCGCGCAAGGAAGCTGTGCGGGCGCTCTGAAAGGCCAAGAAGCCATGGGGTGGCGGAGGCTCCAGCTTGTCCCCGAAGCGCAATGCGGCTCTCCTGTCCACCAGCAAAACGTCAGAGGTCACCGGGAATTCAATGTGCCCCACGACGACACTTGCCATCCGATGGGAAGCCTCGCAAGAAACAGGCCTGACGAGGTGCCGACCGCAAGCCCACGAAGGAAAGGGTGGAGCCCAGGAAGGCAACAAGCAAGACCTGGGCGGTCGCTCGCAGCTCTGAGTGCCCATCAATGTGTACGACCTCAATGTCTGGGGAATTATTGTGCTCCAGGACTTGTGCAGTATTTGGCTTGAGTGTATGATGAAAGACTGCGTGGAGACAACGACCGACACAGTTCACTCTCGCAAAACTGCGTCTGATGAGACAACGAAAACTAGGGGCGACAGGAAAAACGCTTCTGGTGCAAAGCCTGACTGGCACTACAGCACGGGCAACTCGTCTGAGAGAGGTCTGCTGCCTGTCGGCCTGTTTGTTCAACAAGACCCCCAAGCAAGAAGACCCCTTCGGCAGAGAGGGAAGAGTGGAAAGACATCATGCAGGAGCGCGATGATTGCTCCCAGCCAGGTGACGGCAGGCAGCAAAGACTTGGCCATGGCTGAGCTGGGTTTAGGGGCAACAAGGGCGGCACCAGAGCCTGATAAATGGGCTGTGACCCCATGGAGCGCTTTCAGGTCTGCACTGCCAGAGAGGTTGCACCTGTCCACCCGAGTCTACCCCTTCCTCTTTTCTGTGGGCTTGTGACGCCGCCTAGTCATAGTTTAGAAGGAAAAAATTCACTACTAAAAATGGAGACTGTGAGGGTTGGAGCAAATCCCGTCCATGCAAACCATGATGTACGCCTACGCTCGCAGGCTATTTTGGGATATGCTGCCAGCGATCACAAGTTGCGGGAGACTCCTTTGTGACTGGGATTGCTTGGCCAACCCTCTCTCTGGATGGACATGCGAGTTTCCCACCTGGCGGGGCGAGGGCAGCGATCCAGCTCTGATCCCAGCTTGTCTTTCGATGAACACTCCAAAATCAGAGGAGCGTTGATCGTGTGCTGAACTCTCGCATTGCTTCGTACAAGAGAAGGGGAGCATGGGCATCCTACGTTATGTGCAAAAGATGTGCCGATGATCAATGCACGTTGATGTTGAGGGTTTGCAACTCACCTACAATTCAAGTCAACTCAAGTGGAAACAATAGCCTAATCGCTTTTTGTCTTATTATCCGTCTTGTCTGTCTTAAGCCTTAAGCTGCCATCCGCTTGCAGGTGCGAAAGCCAATGCCCGGCGGCTCAATGAGGCGCGCAGCATAGAACCTGTCAGCAAGTTGAGGGAAGCTAAGGGTGAACTCTTCGCGTCTCTCCCTGCTCTCTGCCATCTTGGCCTTCCCGACCGCAGCTGCCTACCTGAGCGGAATCAACTCTGTCATGATGTCACTGAGCACGGAACAAAGGAAATCAAGATAGCTCACAAGCTGTCAGCAGGCTTCCACTTCCGTACCCGCCGTGACCGCTGGTTCAGACCACTCGCGTCGTTGCTTCACAGAACTTTCCGCTTCAGAGGCACATGCACAAGAGCCACAATGCACAGCAAGTCACTGCAGGAAAGGATGCGCCAGGACCTGGCAAGCTACCGAGGCCAGTAGAACCGGTTCTGCTGCAGATGGGAGCTGCTCACCCCGCCCCCCCCTGCCTGGTCGACAGTCGGGCGCTCCGCCGGGTTCAGCTTCAAGAGGCTCTTCACCAGCTCCTGGGACCGGGAAGAGTCCAATAAATCCCATTGAATATCCCCAACGGCGGAATGGCTGTCGTTGGGCTCAAAAAGTACCAAAAAAGTTGACGGAGCTGTAGATGGGTTGTCCATGCCCGGCCGGTCATTGAACACAAGACTCTAATTCGGGTTTATGGGTGGCTGGGTTTCCGGAACCAGCTCCGGATCTCGCCCAAACCCGCCCAAACCTGCCCAACCCATCCCGGAACTCCCAGAAGCCCTGGAACCGGTTGGGGAATTCGGCCCCGAACCTGCCCCAAACCTTAATTTCGGCTGAAGAATTCAGAGCTCACGCTGTTAGTTAAAAAGGGAACCTCTGCAATTGGCAATTGGCAAAGGGAGTGACCTTGCAGCTACCTTCGAACTTCCCAGTTTGGCTTACGGCTGGCCTGCGCCTGCGGGGAGCACTTGTTCAAAGGTGTCGGGTCGTACTCTGCGTTCACAATCTTATCCTCGTCCTTAGCAAAGCGATGACTCTCACGCAGGCTTCGGCCGTTTAGGCAGGAAGATACCGTGCCGGAGCTTCGAGCAGAAGAGTCGAGAACATCGAGAAGTGCAGGCTGTGCTTACCAGCATCATGGAACAACGTGCATCCGAGGCTCCGGGAAGGGCTTGAGGCCGGTCAGCATGACGTACCTCGGACGACTTGCAGTCGCAGGAGTGACTTTGGCTGCAGAAGGCCAACAAACAGATCTTAAAGAAGCAGACGGAGATTGCAAAACTTGCTTCTTGCCGAAGGAGGACATGGTGACGCCCAGACTCCAGAGATCCACAGCCTGCAAGGTCTCGGGGCTGGCACACGGAAAGATATGCCGCCTGAAAACCTAGCTGCGACCGGCCTTGGTGAACTCACGCTTTGGCAGCTCCACGAACCTGGAAGTTAGGAGTAGATGGGACGCTCTAGTCGACGGCCTTCTTTGATCTGAAATCTACGCCGATGTACTTGGGGAGTGTTTGAGCATGGAGCGTGGCAGCAACAACAGCTGCCCACCGCTAACCAATCCAAACTCGTTCTGCATGACCACAGGTTTTCATGCTGGCACCGCGAGTGTCTCACCCAACTCTGATTGCTTCAGGAGTCCAGAGCAGTCCGTGCATCCAAACGGCTGAACGGTGAAGGGTGCAGACAGTCCACCGAGGATCTCCGTGATCGCAGTGACGCCACCCTGTGGCGGCACTCTGTTCTGCATAGACTCTCATCAGTAAAACATCAACAGATCGAGAGTACCAGCCAAGATGTCAGGGCGGAGACAAAGTCTTGCATCCCAATGACACGGCTGAGCTCCCACCTTAGTTCCGGCGCCGAGCTCGTTGAAATCCTGCGGATCAGCGACTTTTATGAGAGAAACGACTGGAGCACCTCCCGGCGCGGGGATCCTTAACGAAGGGCATCTCGAGGATCTCCTGGCCGTTGATGTGAGAGATGGCCCAGCCATCACCAACCTTGGATATAGATCGCAGATCGGATAGAGAGAGGCAAAGTACGAAAGC